TGAATCTGAATAAGTTGAACTAGACTTACTCGGGATAAAAATATGGCCTGATGATGTTGCTCGAGATGTCTGTGTTCATTCGATGCTGCACCTGAAGCGTACGGAACGGGTGCCCATTCTTCACCAATCGTTCAAACATCGAAACCTCCAGATTGTACTCACGAGCCAGTTCATATACAGCTGAAACAACCAGTAGATGTCACAGACTGTTGGGTTTGGCGCGGCGCCAGCCGTTCTCTACCTGCTGTTGAAACGGACAATGGAAAATGCCCCCCCCTCCTGACACTTTCCAGTATCTACAGGAGAAATGACTATAGTTAGGAGGAAGGAACTCGGCTACGCCTCCGTGTCCTTTCCCTTGAACAAAGCTTTAGCTTAGAGCGCAGACAATCACAGTCACAGAGAGATACTTTCGCAAAGAAGACATGGTCTCCAAGCTCTTGTTGAGGCAGGGACACAGAGCATTGCCGGGTGCCCTCTCCTATCCCTCCCCCCGTCCAGATAGCGTCAGTGCCTGAACCTTACAACACCAAGCACGCAGGTTTTTCGCACTTGAGCTAAGTAGATGCAGAACAGCTAAATTACCTGGAGACGGTCTCAGCTGTTGATGATCCCCTATGAGCACCACATGCTCGACGGTCGGCAGGAAGGATGCCATAGTATGAGCTTCAAGGACCTGAAACGAATCGCAGATCATCAGCTTTATCTTGCGCGAATATCAATCGGTAGACCTTAAACAGTCCATGTGTAAATTTTTCCATTTTTTCCATAACCATTGCTAGTGTGTGCTTTAGGGATAGGAGGTTTCACTCTCCAACAATAGAGGATTTGATGCTGATCAGGGTTCGGAAGGGGGGGGGGGGTACCAAGAATGGAGCGTGCGACGAGACACCCTTTTCTGCTCGTCTGCGCCCCTCCACTGCCATAGTGATACAAATTCTAAATAAGCAATAAGCATAGCTATAGAGAGCAGGCCGAGTGAGCGTCCAGACTTGCCATATGCCCCTCCCCTAGCTTCTTTAGCCCCAAACAGGTTACCGTGAAATTGCTGTAGTCGAAGACAGTGCCAGACGTGCAGAAGCCTTTCGCTGCACAGGTGTCACGACCTGCTGTCGCAGAGCATGTCTCACTTTTGCGACTCGAGAATGACTGATAAGGGCGCCATGGCTCTGCGACTATAGGCTAGCCACGCCTCCGTGAGCTAGACCCACCTCTATCATTTCGTTCTTCATCGTCATATAGCAATGGGGGCAGACTGAGAGTATGTAAGAGAAGCAGGTCATGACATGTTCTCTTTCCATCCCATGACCTGC